AGGAGGTTTGAGAGCTGATTTGCTACAACTGGCAGCACCAGCATCTTAGTTTTTTCCGATCCCAGGTTTCCTGAAAGTGTCGATTTGCCTTAGTCTCTGATGGAAGTGAGAAGCGTAGTTGTAGAGGCGCCAGCCCACGCAACCAGACAAGGGAACAAAATGAGCAGGATGGGTGGTTCCCGAAACAAACCCACAGGGCACACGGGCGTGGCGCGCCTCGATCTTGTGAGCTGACTCGAGGAGGGAAGCTTTGACATCTGTGTCTCATCTGGTTTACACAAGAGGGATTGCAACGCAGCGTTTGACGTTCGGCAACAAAACCAGGTCCTGCTAGGAGAGTCAGCGCCTTCAGACTGAAAGTCACCCCCTGTCCCACGTCTTTAACGTCTGTGCCTCGTTCACGGACACATGATGTCCCCGGCGGCCCCTCCCACGTCCCGCCCCATCTGTGGCCGACTCTCAGAGGGTTCCAAGAGGGAAAGTGGGAGCTGCAAAGCGCTCCCCGAGTCCCAGCCTGGAACATGGCACGGGCTCTCCCCAGGTTCCCTAAACACAGCCACAGGCCAGCCCAGGCTCAAGGAGCTGCAAGTCCCACGGAGGGATCGGAAACGGGGGCTACTGGGGTATGAATCCCTCTTACAGCTGCCCTGAGCCCACAGCTGGGTGCCCAGCGTCCTGGAACCCCCGGGGGGTTGGGGGGGGGGGAAGCAGATGAAACAAGAGAGACAAACGCAGCAGACTGGGCGGAAGCGTGGAGGGAGTTCATGAGTTTCCGGGCGGTCGGGGGGGGGGGGCGCGGGGGGGGGGGGCAAAGAGACACTAACAAAACAGACACAGAAGGAACCTCCAGGGAGAGACCTTTTTCCCTCCGGCACAAGTTCCTCCCAGAGGACACGCGTCCCGCAGCCACCCTGACGCCCCGGCGGGTGGACACAGCGGTGACCGGGGCCGCCTCCCTGGCTGTAAAGGTCTATGGTCGGGATTCAGGCTTCCCCTCCTGCTCCGCCTCGAGCTGCTGACTAACAATCCTCTCCTCTCTCTCTCTTTGTGCCACTTTCTCTCCCTCTTCCCTTCCATACTGCTCCCTTCGCATCCTCCCATCTCTCTGCCATCTGCCCTCTCCCCCCATCTGTCTCCTCCCCCATCTGCCCCCTCCCCCCAGAACAGGGGGGCTTCCAGCAATTCTCTTTCCTTGGCTCCTTCCCACCGGCGCCCCCAGGATCTTCAGGGAGGCTCGGCTCTGCCATTTCTCCGCCAGGGGGTGGGTGTTGCTCTGCGTGGATGGGTGAGATTTGCCAGACCAGGAGGGTGGGCCTGTTGGACCGGGAACCTGGTTTTGAACACCCGTCCCTTTTCTCTCCACAAGGAGGTCTCGCATGCTTCCTCTTCCTCCCTGTCAGCTCCCTCAGCGGTGTCCAGACCCAGTGCCTTCCTCTAAGTCTAACCAAATTGCTCAGATCAGCTGGCATTTAATGAGCACCGACTGTGTGCCTCGCTCTGTGCAAAGCCCTTCTACGATTTTTAACACATAGAATCCTCTGTGCGGCCCACTGAGGCAGGTGTTAGTACTATGACCCGCCCCTTACACAGATGAGGAATTCAAGCACAGAGAGGTCAAGTCACCAGCCCGAGATCACACAGCCAGTACGTGGCGGAGCCGGGATTTGAACCCAGGATATCGAGTCCCCGAGCCTCAGCTCTTAGCTGTGCTGTAAGAGCTTAATAAGTGATCATTATCATTTTGATAATAACTGTAAGTGTGGGAGGGAGCGTTGAAACCTGGGTAGAAAAATGCTATATCTGAGCCCCCACCACACACCAGGTCCTGCCTGAATGCAGACAATCTGGTGGACCCCTATGACCCTCATCGCCGGGGACAGCAAGGCAGCAGATTGGGCCCCGGCTGCAGGGTCCTGAGAAACCGGGCGTGATGCGATCGCCGAAGTTGAGTGGGTGTTTCTCACTTGCTGAAGTGACACCATCAAGTGACAATAGAGAAACAGAGTTGCCATGAAATCAGGCCTTTCTAAAAACATGCTCAATGTGAAGGCAGGTGGCCTTATCTCACACATTGCACAGAAAAGCCAGACTCCATTCCATTTTTTAGAAATGTTTTATTGATTTTTTTTTTTTTTTGAGAGAGAGAGAAACATTGATCAACTGCCTCCCTCCCACATGTTCCTCCCTGGAGATCAAACTTGCAACCTGGGCATGTGTCCTGACCAGGGAATCGAACCGGCAACCTCTCGGTGGCCTGGGACAACGCTCAACCGACTGTGCCACACCCACCAGGGCTCTATTCCATTTTTAAAAATATATATATTTTTATTGATTTCAGAGAGGAAGGGAGAGGGAGAGATAGATAGAAACATCAACAATGAGAGAGAATCATTGATCGGCTGCCTCCTGCACACCCCTGCTGGGGATCGAGCCCACAACCAGAGCATGTGCCCTTGACCGGCATCGAACCCGGGACCCTTCAGTCCGCAGGTCAACGCTCTATCCACTGAGCCAAACAGCCAGGGCCCTATTCCATGTTTAATCTGACTGTTTGGTGTTCCTAACAATGCAGCGGTGCTGTGTTTGTGGCTACCCTTTCCTTCTCTGTGACTTGGTTCCCTTATCTGTTAAATGGGAGCGACTCTCTGTCCTATGAATAAGCCAGAGGAGGTAAAGTGTTTTTGAACAGTGCCTGGCTTAGAATACGTGCTAAGTAAGCATTTGCTGTCCTCGTCATATCTGCCCATAAGAAAAACCGAGAGCTTAGTCCTTGAGGAGAAGAGGGGTCAGAGGTCAGGGTTTGAGAGGACTCACACTGCCTGGGTTTCAGTCCTGGACCTGCAGTTTCTAAGCTGTGTGGCCGGGGGCGCAGTTTCCCCCTTTTTCCAAGCCTCAGTTTGCCCGCCAGTCCAATGGGGCTGGGACTCCCTACCCTACCAGCTGTGTGAGGTGTTTCATATGTAAAGTGCCACGCCCTATAAATAATAAGACCCTTCACCTTTGGCCAGCCCGGTGCCCCCAAACTGACCCCCGGCCCCCTCCTCACCCTGCATCTCATTTCCTCTTCCCACAGTGGAGGGCATCGTGGGGCTGGAGCAGGTGAGCAGCCTCGGGGATGGCCCCCCGGGTGGCCGCCCCCGCCGGGGCATGTTCCGGACCGTGGGACAGCTCTACAAGGAGTCCCTGAGCCGCCTCATGGCCACACTCAGCAACACTAACCCCAGCTTCGTCCGCTGCATTGTCCCCAACCACGAGAAGAGGGTGAGTGACCTGGGCCGGGACCGGGGAGGCTCTGGCAGCGGGTAAAGGCCTGGCTGCTGGAGCCACATCTGTGCCAGGCTCACCTCTGACCAGATGTGTGACCTTGAGGGACTTGCTCCCCTCCCAGAATGAGTGCCCTGTTCGGAAATTTCATTTGTTCATGGGACTTAAATTTTATTGAGCATCTATTAAGTGCCAGGTACTAGGGGTACACTGGAGAGAAGCACAGTCAACCCCTAGTCTCACAGTCTAATGCAGAACACAGATGTGCAACTAACCACCCACAGTGAACGTCTGGTTGAATTTGTAAGGGTGGTAAGCACCGCATAAGGTTTGTTCTGCTCGGTGAATTCAGGGAGGGCTCCCTGGAGGAGGTGACAACTGAGCTCTGAAGGATAAGTGGTATTCTGAGCAGAGAATAGCTTGTGCAAAGGTCCAGTGGTAGGTCAGAGCATGGAAGGTGCAAGGGATGGAAAGATGGCCGTTGGGGCTGGGGATGGCATGTAGATTTGGGGAGATCATCTCTGGCCTCCCAGGGCACTGAACATTTTTTCTTTAATTGGGAAAATCAAAGAGCAGGCCCATAGAGAAGGGAAAACGAGGCCACAAAGTTAGGAGCTGAGGCTTACACTGTCCTTAAAAGGCAGCTGTGGTTACTGGGCGGGTGGGTGTCCTTTCTCAGGTCTGCAGACACTATATTTTATCAAATCTAAGATGCATTTATTTCTGACACTTTAGCGTCTCTGAAGTGGGGATGTGGCTATTCATCAATAGCTTGTCAGAGTGTTGTGTGGTTTTTGTTTTTTTTTTGTTTGTTTGTTTGTTTTGTTGTTTTTTTAAAAATATATTTTATTGATTTTTTACAGAGAGGAAGGGAGAGAGATAGTTAGAAACATCGATGAGAGAGAAACATCGATCAGCTGCCTCCTGCACATCTCCCACTGGGGATGTGCCCGCAACCCAGGTACATGCCCTTGACCGGAATCGAACCTGGGACCTTTCAGTCCCTATTCATCAATAGCTTGTCAGAGTGTTGTGTGGTTTTTTGTTTTTAATTTTTATTGTTGCTTGTCAGAGTTTAATTGCTTTCTTGGCGGTATATAAAATAACAGTGTGTCTTACTATTGGGGGTGGCTTATATTTGATGAAATGTACCATAGACAGCCATTTCTTCAAGAAGCCCTGGTGGTTTTCAGTGGAGAATGGTGCTTAGAGCCGAAGATCTGGGTGCTAGGTGTGCTCAATGGTGTCAGGGTGTCACTCCCAGGACATGCCGGCCGGGCAACGTACTGTTTAGATTTTTACCATTTTTATCATTTTTACCAAAAATAATGATGTATGAGCTTTGTTCACACAGCACCTTGGCTGACTATCCTATGTGCTAATTCAGCCCTCCCTACTCTCCCCCTCCTGTTCTGTTCTACTTAATACTTATTGCTATTTGTTTATTTCATTTATTAGGGATTTTGCCACCACATTTACCGCCAGTCTCTACCACGGGACTGTGAGCTCCCACAGGGCAGGGATTTCCGCCTGGCACGTAGTAGGTGCTCAGTAAATTATAGATCAAACGACACGAAATTGCCAACCATTGTTGACCAGACTGTCGGCCGATGAATGGCGCCCCCGTGCGGCCATCCATGCAGTGGCGCCCCCGTGCGGCCGCTGCTGACCCTGCGTGTCCGCCTTGCTCTCCACAGGCCGGGAAGCTGGAGCCGCGGCTGGTGCTGGACCAGCTGCGCTGTAACGGCGTCCTGGAGGGCATCCGCATCTGTCGCCAAGGCTTCCCCAACCGCATCCTCTTCCAGGAGTTCCGGCAGCGGTGAGCGGAGTGAGGGTGGGGTGAGGGGGCTCGGGTCTGGAAGCCACCATCCCTGCATCCAAATCCTCCCACCACTCCTCCTCCTCCTCCTCTCCTTCCTCCTCCTCCTCCTCCAGTGAGACTTCAGAAAGCAGCAGTGAGAGTGACAACAAAGGAAAAAAAATACAAAAGAAGAAAAGAAAGAAAAACAAATGTTCAAGAAATAAAAACAATGATATAGGAGAAAAGGACAAGTCTAAGAAGAGAAAACTTCATGAAGAACTTTCTAGCAATCATTGTAATAAGGAGAAAGCCAAGGAAGAGCCTAGATTTTTAAAACAAGAGAGTTCTAGGGAGACTGGCAAATGGAATCATTCTAATTTTGACAAAACGTCCAGAAGCCATAACCACAGCCCAGAGAAGAGACCTACTGGGGATCGAGCCCACAACCCGGGCATGTGCCCTTGACCAGAATCGAACCCAGGACCCTTCAGTCCGCAGGCAGATGCTCTATCCACTGAGCCAAACCGGCTAAAGCCCACGGCTGCTTCTGAGCCTGGACCCGGGGAAGCTCCTTAGGTTTGCTGGGCTTCGGTCTTCTCCTCTGTGGTATGGGCAAGCAGTACCCACTCAGTGCGCTCCCAGAGAAAAAGGGCATAGAGCGTCACATGGCAATCAATGTGTTGTAATTGGCATTTCTTTATGTTTTTGTTTGTTTTGTTAATCCTCAACCGAGGATGTTTTTCCATTGATCTTTTAGAGAGAGGGAAAGACAGAAAGAAATATGAGTGAGAGAAACACATTGATTGGTTGCCTCCTGCACACGCCCTGACCAGGGCCCGGGCCAGGGAGGATCCTGCAACCGAGGTACGTGCCCTTGACCGGAATCAAACCCGGGACCCTTCGGTCTGCCTGTCGATGCTTTATCTGCTGAGCCAAACCAGCTAGGGCTATTTTTTATTTTTTAAATATATTTTTATTGATTTCAGAGAAGGGAGAGGGAGAGAGATAGAAACATCAATGATGAAAAGAATCATTGATCGGCTGCCTCCTGCATGCCCCACCCTGGGGATCAAGCCCACAACCCGGGCATGTGCCCTGACCGGGAGTGGAACCGTGACCTCCTGGTTCATAGGACGACGCTCAACCACTGAGCCATGCCGGTCGGGCTGCTTCAGTTTTTAAATTTAAATTTTAGTTCGTGAAAATTAAATACAGTTATTGGGTCAAAATGGCGAGCCAGCATCAAGCCGGTGGCTGAAGGGGCCTGGAAAATGGTATGACAGCGCTGCGGGATTCCATAAACTGAGGTTAATGAGAGAGATACACTACATGTGTATGAGGATGTAAAAGAAGCCATAGGCAGGCTTCCTGAGAACGTGTGTGACGACAGGGTGTTTTGTGTTAAGCGAGCACTGGGCCTGCCCACAGATCTGCCTAAAGAGCAGTGGACAGGACATGAGGAGGGTGCATCCTACCTCGCACTGTACCTGGAAGAGGTTGTTCAGGAAAGGAGAGAAAGGGGAGAATGGGCGAGGCAGTAATCATGCAGTCGAAATCTGTGGGCGCATCTGTCGTCAGAATTTTAATTTTGTTGGTTAAACCTGAAATGTACAATTTAGAACCATCTGGGTTTCCACTATATTACTTTAAATAAATGTCTCTTATAACAAAACAAAAAAAGAAAGTTAAATGCAGTTTAAAAAAATCTAGCTCAATTGGCCCTGGGCGGTGGCTAGGCTGGTTGGAGCATCGTCCCGTACACCCAAAGGTTGTGGGTTCGATTCCCGCCAGGGCACATGCCTAGGCACGCACATATAAGTTTCTCAATCACCAACCATAAAATAATGTAGATAGTTATTTTTAAAGGATTCTTTTTTTAAAAAAATGTGTTTTTAAAATTGATTTTAGAGAGAGAGGAAAGGAGAGGGAGAGGGAGAGAGAAACATCGATGGGCTGCCTCCTGCACTCCTCCTGTCAGAAATCAAACCCATAACCCGGGCATGTGCCCTGACCGGGAATCGAACCAGCGACCTCTCAGTGCACAGGATGACACTCAATCAACTGAGCCACACCGGCCAGGGCAAGATAATGTACATTATATACTACATATAAATGTGTACATACTTGTATACATATTGTATATATAATATACATTATTTTCTAGGAAATGCTGAGGGCACGGCAGGGGAGAGGCACTGAGAACAGACACGTATATGTTTATAAAATGTATTTTTAAAATTCAGAGTTCACTCAGAAATTTGAAAGAAATTGCTGTAAAGCACTTAGCCCAGGGCCTGACACACAAGACATGTAAAAACATCAGCTGTGCCCGGCCGGCGTGGCTCAGGGGTTGAGCATCGACCTATGAACCAGGAGGTCACTGTTCGATTCCCAGTCAGGGCACGTGCCCGGGTTCCAGGCTCGATCCCCAGTGGCCGGGGCGTGCAGGAGGCAGTCGATCAATGGTTCTCTCTCATCATTGACGTCTCTCTCTCTCTCCCTCTCCCTTCCTCTCTGAAATCAATAGAAACGCATTTTTAAAGCATCAGCCGCTGTTTTTTGTTCTTCTCATCTTCCCATTCTGAGACCTGCCGCTGTTTCCGTCTCGGTGAACTATGTGGTGATGTAATAAATACTCCTAGTGCCCTAACCGGTTTGGCTCGGTGGATAGAGCGTCGGCCTGCGGACTCAGGGGTCCCGGGTTCGATTCCGGTCAGGGGCATGTACCTTGGTTGCGGGCGCATCCCCAGTGAGGGGG